GTTTAATTTCAGCAGGAAGGTAATTTACATTAATACAATTAGTTTGGATTGTTTTAATATAATGAATATTTATTATTTCTAATGGCTCAACTTATTGATTCGTATATTTCAAATAAAGGTCGTTATACATTAACAATGTTGTTGAAATTGGGGGATTTTTTTTTTGTGGATAAATTAGAGTTTTGTTCCCTGGGCAGCAAGTTGTATGGAGACATTTCAAAACATAAAATTTATGATAATTTATTCACTTTGTCCCTATTATAAAAAGTAATGGGTGTAACATAATAGTGAATTGAAACTGTCTTTTTTTATTTAGTTAATTTGTGTTGTAAAGTTTGAAAACCTGCCTTGAAAAGTGAATTTCCTCTACCTTCCAATTTACAATTATGAATCAAATTAAAATACTTTGAAGCTTGTGACAAAATACAAGAACATTACAAAAGAAAAACGACCATATATTTTATTTTAGATATTTATGGCATATTTTCTGCCCTCTCTGCTTCTGTCATCTGGGATCGTTTCCCTGTGGATTAATTTTCCCATAACTCCCTTTTCCACAGGCACAGCTGATAGCGCAGTCCATTGGTCAGGCTTTCAGCGTGGCCTACCGGGAATTCCTGCGAGCCAACGGCATCAACCCGACCGACCTGAGCCACAAACAGTACAGTGACATCATCAACTCCCAGGAAATGTACCACGACGACCTCGTGCACTTCTCCAACTCAGAGAACCGTAAAGAGGTGAGGCGTTCCTGGGTTTCCCAACGGAAATCTGGCTCCTTTTTCAGAGCTAACAAGAAAGGCGACAAACGTTCCTGCAGCAAAAAATGTCTTCGTTTGTGGTGCTATCATTTGAAAGATACTAATAAATGTCCCAGAGGTCATGAAAGGTCATTTTTGTTGTTGTTGTTTAATTTTGCTAAGTCAAACATAGTATCTTCAAAACAAGGGCAGCACAAGCAAAAGATAATTCCTGCATAAACGTAGCATAAATGTTTGACACCAATTTGGCTTGATTTTATAAATATGGGGGGTCTGGTTCACCTTTTGACCTTTGAACTGTCATTAATATCGTCAAAACAAATGCAGCACAAATGAAAATTGTTGCTACATAAACGTATCACAGTTGATTGACACCAATTTTGTTTGATTGTCTACATGTGGGGACCTTTAAACTTTCTTTAATATCTCCAAAGAAAAAGCAGCACAAAACAACGTTTGACACCATTTTTGTTAGATTTGAAGAAGGTGGGTGGGCCGTCTTCTCTCAGCTACTCATGTTGGCTCTTTGATTCGTGCTCCAGCTGTACGTGGAGAAGCAGAAAGGCGAGAGCCTCGGCGTGGTGATAGTGGAGTCCGGCTGGGGCTCCATTCTGCCCACCGTCATCCTGGCCAGCATGCTGAACAGTGGCCCCGCGGCGCGGTCCGGAAAACTCAGCGTGGGAGACCAGATCATGTCCATTAATGACACAAGTCTGGTGGGTCTGCCACTCGCCACCTGTCAGAGCATCGTTAAGGTAAGAAACTCAGTCACAGGTACTTTACTGTACCTTAAAACTAGGATCTACACTACTTTGCAGTACTAAAATGCAAGTGAATTTTAATAACTTGTAAAAATGTCCAAGTTATTATGCTTCCATTTGGGCCTCAACTGTTTTTAAGAACAATCCAAGTGCTTTAAAAAACACCCAGCTGGTTTTAGTGTCTGGAAAATGAGTAGTTTTTAAAACCTAAATACAAAATCTGACCAAATATTTTTGACCTAATTTCTCGAGCCAATATCTTAGTACATTTGAAATAAGGCAAAACTTACTTACAAGCAGCTTTTCATCAAGACATAGTTTATAATTCTTTAATATTCTTTAAAAAGTTCTAGTTCCTCTGGCAGATTATCCATTTATAATAAGACATTTTTCCCATGTTAAAATGAAACATATGAATTAAAAGCAACAGTTGCTGCGACTAACAATTATTCCACTTATAGATTATTCTGACAATTATTTGATTATTTGGATAAATAAAAATTAGATTTTTCATTTAACCACTTGGGCCATTTATGCAACATTAAGCATATGTTAAAATATGCAAATAAACAATTTAATTCATTCTTTAAATAATAAAATAAAAGTTTTTCTGCCTAAAATGCAGCAACATGGTGTTCCTTTAGTGACTGGTTGACATCTAAGTAATGGAGATTCCAGGGCCTAGTCAAAGCCCAGACCTTAATTACCTTTGCAACAGTTTCAATAAACTTCTTCCAGGGTTTGAAGAATCAGGTGAAAGTGAAGCTGAGCATCGTAAGCTGCCCTCCTGTTACGACCGTCCTTATAAAGAGACCAGACCTCAAGTATCAGCTCGGCTTCAGCGTTCAGAACGGCATCGTGAGTAAAACCCCGACAATAAAGTTTCCAAGCCTGAATAAGGCGACGTTCACACTGCAGCCTGAAGTAACCCAAAGCTGATTTCTTTTTGTTCGTTTTTGTCGTGGTCGTTCATACTACCAAATATATTCCACTTGTATGTGATCTCCCATGTGAACTGCAAACGACCTGAAAATGTCCCGCGTAACATAGAGCTCAGTGATTTGCCAACCACCACAAAGAAGGAGTAAAAGAAGAAGTGCTCAGTGTTTGCAGAAGTAAACAAGGATGCTAATGCTGGAGCATATCTTACGATTTTAAAGTTGTTGAGGACGCGGAACAGTGACGTTTGTCGAGCATCAATGAGGTTCACGTCGGATGAATGTGAGCAGATATGTATCGTATTAAGTACAATATGATAAAAAAAAAATCCGATCTGTGTTTCCAGACTGTCAAGAAAATATCAGATACAGGTCGCATTTAGGCTAAAAAATTGGATTTGGGACTCTAAGTCTGCAGTGTGAACGGGTTGAGTCTCCTCCATATTCGATGTGTTTTGGTCAGATCTGCAGTCTGATGCGAGGCGGGATTGCCGAGCGAGGCGGCGTCCGGGTCGGGCACAGAATCATCGAAATAAACGGGCAGAGTGTTGTTGCCATGGCGCACGAGAAGATTGTTCAAACTCTGTCTGTCTCCGTGGGTGAGGTAAGACATCTTTGGGCTGCAGAGCTGCAATTTTCAATGATTACTGAGCCGTAGAAATGAAATGACGCACTTACTCTCACACTGGGATGGTTTTAAATGCATGAGGTGCAACATGCAGATACTATGTCAGGGATTTCCCAAACGCAAACACAAGAAAAGAAGCATTTCTACACAAAAAACATTCAGAATATAAATATTTGAAGAATACATAGTGGCAAGTGTATGGTTCTATGTTTTATAAAATTTATTAAATAAAGTGTAAATAATGCAGCAGAGATGATAAAGTTATCTGAACAATAAGTAACAATTAACAATACTTTAAAAAGTAAATGCGTGATTTGACTCCAACTAACAAAATGTGAACTTCTCTTTCTGATAAATACTGCCCCCTAGTGTTTCCTCGTTGTCATTACACTTCAAATTCCTAGTTTAGGAACAGGTAGCTCTCCAACTTGTCCTTATAGCCACAGACGTTGTTGTATTGCTTTGGGGTTTTATGCAACAGATAAACACAAAGGGTTGTAAACTAATGAAAACATTTGTGTATTTCTATTCAACGTCAATCCAGCAGAAAACCAGTTTCCATTTGTTCCAAAGGGGTGGCTGGAGTTTGCAGCTTTTGTTTTTCATAAAACAAATCACGTTTTACCACATATTTTCATCATCGCCTATTAAGTTTTTTAGTTACTTTAAATTGGACTATAATTTGTTTTCTGTTATTGAACAATCATCTGTGAGATGTTTGTTAGCTGTTTTCACTCATGATGGTTTTTATTCACTAATGTTCTCAAACAAACATCCAGCAAGACCATTGAACAAAAATAAAATTCTGGACAATCAATTGACATTTTTCTAATTTTCAACTAATATATTGACAAAGGCATGATATTGTATCTATATCCTCTCAAAGATTAAGAAACTTTAATTTCTAACGGACATTTTAAGGATCCAAAATAAATGAACAGATCAACAAATGAAATGAAAACTGAAGTCTCTCCAATCTTTGGGAGGACTTATTGATCTAATTTTGAGTGTTGAGGGCCACGTTTGGCCTCTGGGCCTTAAGTCTGACACACGTGGACTAGATGTTAAAATCTTTCTTAATTGCTTTTTTAACCTGCCTGCAGAATGGCTCCTCGTCATCATTTCTGTCTTTGCTCCAGATCAACATGAAGACGATGCCCGCAGTGATGTTCAGACTCCTGACGGGTCAAGAGACGCCGGTCTACATATAGAAATCCTGCACGGATCGATCCGCTGAAGCTCTGGATGAAGGGAATTTATTTTTCTACCATTTTAAATTGTTTTGCTTCTTGTTGCAATGCTGTAAAGAACATCGTTTCCAGGTCTTATCTTGAATTACGTCATCATAATGGCCTTATAATGTGAATACCGTCTGTAGTACTGTACGTGAGGTAATGGTGTCAAAGAAAAGTAGCTTTATGGTCATGATTATTTTCTTATGAAGAGATAAATTAGCACATTTATTTTTTATTTAGTCATTTTTATAATGCGTATGGGGTTCAAAAATGTACTTATACGGTAAATACTTTGGGCTGGCTTTGTTGGAAAGGCCATAACTACTCCTGCAAAAACACAGTATGCATGTGATTGTGGAAAAATAACAGACCGAGGGATTCAGTCTCGATCTGACATCGTAATCTATTACAGTAAGTATTAAAAGTCGACGAAAACATGATGTACAAAGGCACCGAACGCTGCATTACAGCGATGCTGAAGGCCAAAGACACACACCTCATGTTTAAGGAGATTCAACAACACTTTGAGTGACAGAGAGTACAAGAATGTATCAATATACTCATTACTGGATGAATGTATTCAAGAAAAAAATACAATTTCTCTCCTAAACTCATGTTTGTTTTTGTTTTATTAACACTTTGCTGTAGAAAATACACTGAAAACTGAAAATACAAGGCAGAAATAAATACACCAGCCTGGAATAGGAAAACTACAGCATCCTCATCAGCACCAATGTTTCTCCATACTTGCTTTAAACTAAATGTGCCAAAATTGTGTGGACTTTTTTGTAATAAATCCTGGTATATAAATATTTTTCAGATTAATCAGGAAGAAGTTAAGTAAAGACTAATATATTTCCATTATCATGCAAGAAAAAAGGCATTAAAAAACATTTCTTTTAGTTTTAGTTCCCAACAACAAACATTACAGCATTAAACACATATTTACAGTTTAATACATAAAACCGGCTCACATAAATAATGACAGTGATTTAAACTTAGAAAAGTTCATTTTTAACACATTCAGCCAAATAATATTCAAGTATGAATCAGTTGAGATCACTGGATGGCTTCATAGACGATCCTGGAAAACAAACAAAATTGTTGCAATCAGATATTGTTGATGGTTCGTGAGCAGAGTTGGCCCAAAGGCTGCATGGGGCCTGAAAGCTGCAGTGCGTGACTTTTATTAAAAATATTTTTTTACATATTTGTTGATTTTGTCACAATATGGTATGAAACAGATAATCTGTGAAAAACAAAATCAAGGTCTTCTGCTTTCTTCCGTCACTAACTAGAAACAACCAATCAGAGCCAGGAGGCGGGTCTTACTGCTGTCAATCATGCAGTGTGTCGCTTGCATATCGTGAATGTTCAAGCTAGTTAGTATAGGCACTGATGAAACGATATGTTGTTTCTCCTCTTTAGCACATTGAGCAGCGTGTACACAAGAATGACTGACAATGCTAAGACCCTCCTCTTGGCTCTGATTGGTTGTTTCTGGGCCGGAAGTTGTGCATTTCTTCAGATGGCAGCAGTTGCATAGTGAGGAGGTGGAGAAGATCAATCTTTTCAGATTATCTATCTTATGAAGCATAAAAATGTGCAAAACAACTTTATTTTAATAAACGCTACATACTGCAGCTTTATGCAGAATTTCATCTTGGGGGATTCTTTCTGCTAAGAACACCTGATTGTTTTTAATTTCTGATGTTAATTTAAAACATTTAAATCTACACATATGCTGAAACTGTCAAATTCAATGCTATTCTCATTCACAAGAAACAAACAAAAATAATTAGATGTATGGTTTGTCAAATTAAAGCCCCATAATATGGCGAAATTTTTTTCCAACTTACTGGTGTAACTTTAGGTGTCAGTGGTAGATACAATTCCCCGTTAAGGAAGACTGAGTTGAGGTAGCCCTCTGGACAAGATTTATCCTCATCCTCGTCCTGGTAGTTGTCGAAACTCAAGCTGAAAGCAGCTTTTACCTTCTCTGGCATCAGGAAGTACAGCATCACCACGAAAAACCCGATGATGGCGCAAAGCACTCCTGGAAATGAGTGAAAATCACAACTTTTACATGTAGTTTTGGTCTTTATGTACCTCCGACCAACTCTTCTGTTGTGCAAGAAAGAGGAAAAAGTCTAAATTCATCCTCTGCTACTGTAGAATAAACTCAATAAAAACTTTTTGAAACTGAACTTTCAATTTGATTACACATTTTGAGTTTTTGAGAAAAAAAATGCTTGAAGCTGTTTTGTCATTTATACTTTGCAGAAGTTCTCAATGTTTAGAATATGGCAGGACTAAACCCTATAAAACAAAACAACAACAAAAAAAATCACAGAGCGTTATTTTGGTACACCAAGTCGCTGTGGCAACAATGTCCACCATGAAGTGCTCACCTGTAGCCAGAGCCAGCCAAAACGAATGGCTGTACTCTGTCACAAAGGAGTCTTCCCCTATGGAGAAAACACACTGAGGCACATTCGTGATGGTGGAGAAGGAGGCCATGGAGAAGAAGATGAAGGCGGCGGTGGCCATGGTCATGTACCCGGCGTAAACAACATCGGGCAAGAAGAACAAGATGTTGGCGAGAATCCAGCAGCAAAACGCTGTCCTGCAGAACAAATTAGTACGTAATTATTTTAATCCCTGATGCCTGTATGAGTGTAAGGGTTGTCATTAATTACCAGAGGGTTGCAGAGGCAAAACGTCCGGAGTAACGGTACTGAAAGATCATCCCACAGGGGCTGCTCAGGGTGAATTTCTCCACGATGTACAGGATGGGGTTGGGTAAACCTTTGATCAAAGCTTGCTCATACTCTTCTTCAGCGATGTCATGCCAGCTGAACATCTCATTGTAGTTGATGGTTTCATTGAACTGCACAACGGGTTTCCCTGAGACAAAAGAAAACAATGTGCTGCAGTCAGAAGAGTACGCACAGTACAGCAAGTCATTGGTTTTATAACAGCATCACATCTCTGCTTGCTCTTTTTATTTCTATTCTTTATTACTGGCTTTACAAATAAGGCTGAACCAAGTTGATAAAGGATTCTGACGGAAAGAGAAACCCACCCCACATTGGAGGCAAGTGATGCATGTCAGATATGAATAGTGAATAGTTTGGATTTTGTGTTTGTTTTGTTTTGTTTTTGTGGTATTGCTGCAGAATATCTGAAGATTGATGGCTTGCTGCGCGTCAAAGGTGACCTGTTATTCAACATTGAAGAGGTTAGGTCAATGGCTGCAAACAAATACGCAATTATAGAACTGTGCTTCTTTGAAAAGCAGAAGTGGAATCTCCTGCACAGCCAACAAAAATGCAGCAAGTGGTTTCTGAATGGGGAGCTAATAAAAAAACACTTGAATGTTCCAACAGCCACTGTACAGCGCATAAAGCAGTAAAACCAGCTGACCTAACATGCTGGAGCTCAGCTTTGGCTGCTTGGTAATGGGGTTTAGCTCAGCTGGGGTTGCTAGGTAACACTGTACTAAAGGATGACTAAACCTAAGAAACAAAGTTATTTAAAAAACTAGAGACGACTAGAATCAACTAAAAGCAGAAATAAAACTGATCAAATCAAAGAAAGAGAAACACAAAATGATTACAAAAATCGTCAAAACAACTGAGGATCCCAACTAAATAAAAGACCTTGCTGTCTTTTTATGTATTCAAAATGCATTAAATTATAACAAATTCCAAACTTGTGCAGAAATTTTCTCATACTGAACAACTTGAGTGTGTAGGTGGCCACTGAAAACAAAGACTTGATCCGGTTAAGCCGCTGAAGAGTCCAACACACAGGCAGTAAGAGTGACTCACCTCTAAGTGTCACGTTGATGCCGTACAGCCCAACATGCAGGCCGACCTCAGCCTGGATGACAGCATTACTGAAGGACTTGTAGGTAGCGTTTGTGGTCATCCTCGCCTCGGCCCAGCTGTTGGTGAAGTTCAGAGCTGCACAAAAAGGACATAAAGGTGAATGATGATGGGAGACAAAGGGAAATCTAATAATTTTTATAGATTAAAATAAATGCGCTGCAAAAACACACAATCTTAGTATCTTTTGTCTAGTATCTAGTGCATACATCTTAGTAAACGTGAATCAAGACAAAACAATAACATCAGTAAGATATAGAAGCTTGTTTTAAGTAATTGCTCCTTTGGTAGATTATTTAAATTATAAATAAATAAATGTATCTGCCAATAGACAAGTGCTTTCCTCCAATATTAACAAATTATTTACTTACAACAAGTTTTCATATCTTCCTGAAGAAAATATTTTAAGTTTAGTAAGATATTTGTACGAGAAACAAGACTAAAAATGTTTGGTGTTTTTATAGTTTATACATAACTTACCTACGATAACTACACCTACAAACAAGCTGATCATGATCCTAAGCATCCAGAAAACCCGCTGGATAAGAAACAGAAACATTTTGAATACATGCAATAACAGAAAAGCATCCCAGCAAATGCAAATGGACAGAAAACTCGCACTCACCGTCCTTCCTCGTATTCCTGGCAGGATGAGAAGAAGACCGACTGCCAGCATGAGGAAGACCAGAATAATGGCGAGCAGTCGGCCGCTGACGATGAAGGCAGTCCTTTGTAGCGGGTAGAATGGGTAAATGTCGTCGTAGAAAGTCATCTTAGCTTCTGATCTAAGGACTGAGCCGAGACTAGGCAGCGTAACAGAGGAAGCAGTGTTAGAGTGCCGCTTCTCACTTTCCTCCAGGTGCAGAGATAACAGTTTTACTTACAACTGATAAGGAAACTACCACCCTGAGGCACGGCACGTTATTAAACCTGAAGGAATCGAGTCTAGAGTAACAGCTAGCTCTGCTTTGCATCGTGTGCAAACAGAAAATAATGAAAAAACTCTTAAATCACTCAGTCAGAACCTCAGTTTTCTTCTGATTGCTGTTCCTTAAGTGATTGCACCATTAAATATAATAAAGAAACAAAAGTTAATTCTGAAGGTTTTGTCTTACCTGAGATATGCAGGGCAAAGAAAGGTGTGAAGTCTGATTGTTGAGGGAACATACACTTCTTTTATACCTCTGGACCCCCCTTGTGTCACACAGGAGGAGGAGGAGGAGGACGAAGGATGCAATGACTGGGATGCTGTGAAAAAAAGAGGAAGGATCCTGACATGGATGGCAATTCCTTTTTGGGAAATAGGTCACACATGCAGTTTGGCGTTAAGTTGAGCAACAAGTGCAGGCTGCAAGTATTGCAGTATCTCTCAGCTGCCATCAAACCTGCGTTCAGCTGCACCTGGTGAACATCTCTGCCTCTGCAGTGGGTGAGACTGTGTGTTTTTCTCAACTTTATGAGACTTTCAGTGGATTAATTTAAGTATTATACATTTAATCTAATAGGAACATAGGAGAATAACATTGAGCTACCTGCACGCAGTCTTCAGTTTTCAGGAGTCTTTCTTTCCTCTTGAACCAAGAAGCCCCTCTCGCATCAATGGATTTGCGTAAATGGGTTTGGAGAGTCTGCGCACTTGCTGGCTCGGTGTTCATCCTCAGTGAGCGTGAGTAAACGTCTCCTCTGGATCCACATAAAAACACAAGCAGCTGGTTCACTCTAAGGTTCAAAAAACGCAGGTGGTGAAGGTGAACTGAGCTGGGAGGTGCCTCGCTTTGACGGCTGGTACAACAGTTTGGCGCATCCGGAGCGCGGAGCCGCCGGTAAGTCCCGACAGGTCCCGGTTTCACACATCACCGGGTGACTGATGGTGGCCACTCTCCGCTCACGGCAGGTGCTCATCTGGTGCGCCTCGTGCCCGCGCGTTACTGGGATGGAGTCTACCAACCTGTGCACGAGCCGGTGCAGCCGAACGCGCGCGGGCTGAGCAGGCTGTTGGCCGGCGGAGCTTCCGGTTTGTCCTCGGCTCGCAACCGGACCGTGCTGTCTCTGATCTTCGGTAAATATGAAGGAAACTACCGATAATATTAGTAATAGTGAAAATATTCGATAAAAATGCAAAAGTAAATTATTTTAGTCTTTAGTCAAAAATAATTATTTGTGACTTATTTGTGCTCCATTGTTTCTCAAATAAAATGCGCACATTTACGTCACTGCAAATAGGGAAAAAAAGAGAAACTGAGAAAGTTTCTAAAACGTTAGAAATGTGGAAAATTTGCAAGAAAAAAAAACTAAAAAAGTTATGGGATTTTTTTTCAGTCACAATGGAGGGGCACTGCGCTGTTACCTAGCAACCCCGGCTGAGCCCAGCCTGTCACCTAGCAACCCAAGCAGAGCTCCATTACGTTTCCTCAGCTGGTTGAATGCGATGTACAATGGCTGCTGGAAAAGGCAAATGATTTGTTGTTGACTTACCATTCAGAAACTTCTTGCTGCATGCTTGTTGGTTGTGCAGGAGGCTCCACTTCTGCTTATCAAAGATGTGTGGTTGTGTAATTGCGCATCTGTTTGCAGCCATTTTCACGTGTGAGTGGGGGCTGTGGCCATGCTGCAGCTTATAAGGATTTAAAGTGATAAGAGGCCCTAAACATTGTATTCTTGACAATGTTTAGGACAATGTTTGTATTAATGACTTTGTGAGGTTAAATTTCTCACCTTGTTAATTATGCTGAAATTGTTTCAGGTTACCATGTTGCCTTTGAAATTGTTGAAGTACGAACTAATGGTTGTCCACCTCAGTTCATGAACATCAAAGTCCCTAAAGGGGATCCTGTGTTTGATCCCAATGCGACTGGGAAAGTCCGACTGCCTTTCCAGAGAGGACAATGGGACAAACTGTCCGGCCAGAGTCCCGGCAACCCTCGAGCTCAGGTGCTCACTCTTTCCTTCCTGATCACCTTTAATCAGGGCTGCTTTCTGAGTCGTTCTCGTCGTTTACGTCTGATAATCTGTGCCGCTCATGCAGGTGAACTCTGTTACAGCGTGGATAGACGGGAGCTCCATTTATGGTCCTTCCTCTTCTTGGTCTGACTTCTTGAGAAGTTTCTCTGGAGGACTCTTGAATCGAGGTTCTGAGTGGAACATGCCGAATAAAGGAGGGGGTCGCAATTTCATGTGGAGCGCTCCCGATCCCTCCACCGGAGAATATGGACCACAGGGGCTTTATGGTGAGATTTCTCTCAATCCTTCCAGATAGATCACGATTAATCACAATCAACTCATTTAGTAGTCGATTAATTATTAACTAGAGTATACAGAATCTAATAAAAGGCCATTTGGTAGAAGAAAAACACATTCAGAGCAATATTTAGTCAAAAACAGCTCAAAATATACACTTTTCTGTAAATATGTTGTAGCCAAAAGTCCTAAAGTGGCATTTTTAGCTTCTCACTCTTCAAAATCTGTATGAAAAATCTATTATTAAGTACCTTTTCCTGTCACTTTATTAATCTTTTAATCCAAAAATAAAAAACAAATTAGCCAACATTGCACTCTTTGCTACAAATGATCAAGCGTACACAAAACGAGTGCTATGTTATTCCATTTTAGGTAATGAAATGTTTGTTTTCCGATTTAAAACAAGAAGCGAAACATTTGTTTGCATCTTTTGATATCTTTCTAACACAAACTTATACAAAAAATCTGCAGAATCTGATTAATCAATTCATCATTAGACTAACCGTTAATTGCAGCCCTGTTGGTTTTAGATTACATAAAGAAAATCTTCAGCTGGCAAGTTAAAATATATGTTTCTCCTTTGTTGGAGTGCAGGCTATCCTTCTTTAGCAAATATGCATTTGACAACTGATTTTATGCTGCTTATCCTGAACAGTAAAACTTAAGCGACTCAGTATTTTTGTATTCCTCTTGTCTGAGGAGCCAAATTCAACATCTTGCAGTCCAGAAAAAACAACTGAACTTTAAAACAATCTGCTCCACTCTTCCTCTACATTTTGCAGCAGCCACCCAGTCAATGCTGCTAGCTGCAGAAAGCAAAAACAAAATCATAAATAGTTTGTTATTAATAATATATCGGCCCTGGATCGGCGTTGCAGTCAGAGTCTGAGTCAAAGCAGGTCCAGCCTGACGTGAGCTGTGACTCTTTAATAATTGTGTAAATGGTATGTCACTCTGACCACAGTAAATCCTTCCCTCTAAAACAAAAGACAAGTCATGCAAGTGTCATAAAACCTGTGTTTTGTTGCTGCCATTGTGAAAGCTGCATAGTTATCGCCTGTGGTTAAGTCGCAGGATATTATTCCAACTTTTGTCGCATTTTTTAACAAAATAAAACACTAAATTGTATTTCTAATTAGTGGTTGATTACTGGTAGCAGAATACAGATAAAGTTCTGCACACTTGAGAAATGTGTGCTGTTTATGTGTTTTTCTTTCATGCATTTTGTCACGTATTTGACCCAGTTCTGCACGTTGTGGTCATAACGAGGCTAATTCACCTGATGAAATTGCAAAACGTCCTTGTTTGTGCCATCTTCCATGCGCAGAGTTGGGAAACGCATGGGCCAACGAGAACTTGTTCACGGCAGCAGAGGGGATTATCTGGTTTCGCTACCACAATTATGTCGCCGCAAAGTTGCACAAGGAGAACCCGGAGTGGTCAGATGAGAGGCTGTTTCAAAACGCCAGGAAGACCGTGGTCGCCACGTTCCAGGTAAATGGAGAAGAAGAAGAATCCTCTCACTGCACAGGTGATGATTTAATTTGCACTCTGAAAAGACGGACAGGAGGTAGTTAGGGAGCAGAGCGTCATTTCTGACCTCTCGCAGCTCTGCAGCTTTGCCCTGCATGTACACTGCAAAAACACAAAATCTTACCAAGTATTTTCAGTCTAATTTCTTGTGGAAATATCTTAGTTCACTTCAAATAAGTCAAAACTGACTTGCAAGTATCTCTTCAGTAAGACGAAGATTAAATATCGATTAAAAAGTGCCAGTTTAGAAATGTACTTATAACAAGACAATTTTCCCATAAAAATAAATATCTACACTTTCCAAAATAAAAATAGTAAATTTATTCCACCAAAAGCTCTTCAAGTGGTATTTTTAACTTCACCCAGTTCAGATTGTGTGAAAAAAACTTTAATACCCATATATTAATCTACTAATCCAAAAATAATCAGCAGATAAGCCATGCACTATACAAATGCATCCTGTGTTTTTTTAGAAATTATCATCCATATTTGGCAATAAAAAAGTTTATTTTCTTATTTAAAACAGAAAATCAATTATTTGTTTATGTGCATACTTAAAGTATTTCTAATATTGTATTTAAAACAGGCCTTAAGTGAAAAATATACAGAATATGCTAATTGATCAATTAATTGTCAAAATAATTAGTAACTTTACTGATAACTAAAATAATGATCTTTGATTAGTTATTTATTTGAATTATTGTAATTTTGGTTCACAAAATAACCAACATTTCCACATAACTTAGATTTTATGTAAGTTAATATTTTTTTAAATTTTAAACGATTGAAGGTTTGATCAGTTACTCAGTGCTTGAGTTGCCTTTTTACAAAATACTTTTTACTTTTACTTAAGTAAATTATTACTCAGCATATTTATTGAGTGTATTCAAATTCATTACTTAAGTGTATTTATTGATTAAATACACTCAATAAATATGTTGAGTAATAATTTATTCAATGAAGCTGCTGATTATACGCAACTAAGACCATCATCAGCACAGTCTATTTATTTTTTTGGTTGGAGGACAAAAACAATGTATTCTTAATAATTATCCTCTTCTTTGTGTTGGTTTTTCACTTAAAACGGCAGTAAAATCCATTTAAAGTCGTGGTTAAAATGCGATAAAATGGGAAACTTACTTTCCGTACAAAGACATCCCTCAAAAACAGAAGTAACAGGATGTTCAAAGTTTAATTCAGCCACTTCAGGGAGTGCATTTAATAACTTTTTGACCTCCATGTGTTTCATCACAGAACATTGTTCTCTATGAATGGCTGCCAGGATTCCTCGGAGACAGAAAACTCCCTCCTTATCCAGGTGAGCCTGAGCGAGTGCGTACAAGTGCAGGGGATCAGGTAATGCACCAGCGACCGCAATCCGCGGTGAGCTGAGCTACAGGTG